TCTCTCTCTCTCTCTCTCTCTGTCCCTCTCCTACCCCCCTTTCTCTCTCTCCTGGCGTGGGATTGCATCAGCACGGCTCTATAGTACCCGCTTTAACTCTACCCTTTTTGGGCCGTGTGCAGACAGAGGGTGTCCAACCTCAACCGCTCTCAACCTCTGAAATTCTAATTGTGTTACTTTTTTTAAAAACGTACCATATTTCTGTGTACATCATGCCCGCATACATCCTCCCCGCCCTCCTTTGGCTGGCACTGTGCTCTTGGCAGCCGCTGGCTTGCAAGCAAGGCTCTGCAGGACCAGGACCAGCATACACAGGACACTTACCGGCGCATCGGAAATTGATTCCTGATGACATGTCATCCCAGCCCGCCCCGCCGGCGCATGCGCTTGACAAGCACGCAGATAGGTTCAAGAACATATGAGCGGGTGGGCCGGGCCGGGCTGATGAAGGCGCCCCTGCCGGACGGGCCGGCTGCGGGGCGGGGCGGGGGCGGCGGCCGGCGTTGTCCGCGGGCGCCCCGGGCCCGGCCGCCGCTCATTCCCCCGGTATAGGGCCCACGACTCGGCAGGGCTGCAAGGCACGCAGGGCGCAGGGCGCCGGGAGCAGGGCACAGGGCGCGGTGCCGGGGGCGTCGACGCACGTGCAACAGGATGCCGTCGTTGTCGTCGAGGACCTCTGAGTGCGACTAGCCCGGAGAGGCGTAACCGCCATGAGGTACGAAAGCTCGACCACGGCACATACCTCTGTCCCTGCACTACCTCTTTGTCAAACGTTTTATTTTTGAAATGAATTTCCGTAGCTTTTTATTGTGTGGTTTTCTGGCGATACATTACTTGAATATCCTCATATGCTGCCCTTCATACCAGGCCGATGCCTCAATTTAATTCCGATATCAGTGATCAGTGTCCTTTCAACAACCCCATCTCCTTCAACCCTCAACCCCACCCCTCATCCCCCTTCCCCGTCCGCGTCTGAAGGGCGTTTCCTGCCAGTGCGCCCTCTCCCCCCACAAGGGCCTCCCGTCAAACAGGCTGTATCCTTCCTCAATTGTGCGATTGAGGATCTCGATAAACACATGCAGCACCACCGAGGGGAAGGAGGTCCCGCACACTGAACCCTTATGCATTATTCTGTGCATAAGGATTGCTGAATTTTGTGCCGTTGTACAGTATTGTGCATAACAATAGCTTTTACCACCTACAGTATTGTGCATAACTACCGCTCACTTAGACCTACTAAGGGATCCCCCCCCCTTTTTATTGTGTTTTTTGAAATTTATTTGGTGAAAATATTTCTGAACATGAAAGAGAAAAAACAGAACACAAGTAAAAGAGGGTTCCACCCCACCTTCCGACTCCGATTTCGGTGGATTTCACATGTCATTTAAGTGGACTTTAGCCAAAATTGTACTGGCACATTACGCACGATTTTATGATTGGAGGTGGATCTCAAATGGTTTTTGGGAGGTTTTCAGGGACGGTGTACAGTACACATGATTTCAGGAGTGGTGGCCCCTTGATAACTACTACGGCTGCTGAAAGTTCTGAATGTTAACGCACAGCACCGTGCAGTTAGTGTGCACCGTGAGAGTGTGAGTGGCACTGACTCACAAGGAGACCAGGAAGTGCACACCTCTGCATAACATAGCCCTGGTGATGCAGCTCGCGATTAGCTCCGCATACCGTGCGCCTCCCCGCCACGGTCCACGCTCACGCCGCTCCACCCCGTGCACCGCCAAGCTAATTGCACCCTCACAGTGAAAAACCTTGCCAGCGAACTTTTATCGCGGGGCTACTGCTTCACACAGGTTTCTTTACTGCCAATAATTGACGCACCAGCGCACCGGCTACAGGAATTTTTTAATTGTAAGATGTACAATTAAAACTTATAATTGGAAATTAAACAGTGCTTATCGACTTAGAATCGAATGTTGAGCCAGAGTGGGAGGTTATGACATATTATGCGATTGGTAATTTGCCAATTGCAAAATATCGTACACGTATGAACATACTTTTCACAGTGTTCTTAAAAATGAAGTTCTGTTCGCTTTACCGTAGACAACGTATTCGCTGCTGCACAGAGCGAATACTTGTATTTTGCAATGCGAACGATTGTTTTCGCAAGGAAGTGACCGTGCGTGCGTCCCGCGGGGGCCGCCACTGCGCGCCGCGGACTGCGACACGGCGGCCGCATCGATTGCCACAAAAACGGGAGCAGAATCGAACGGGTAGCTGGTCCGCTTAGGGTACTCTTTTTTCTTTTCCCCCTTTTTCTGAGGGAAGGGCGGGGGGGGGGGGGATAAGGAAGACCAATAAAATCGTGATAAATAATGATTTCCCATGTGACCTCTCAAAATGCTCCAACTGATTATCGCCATCACCGATGAAATGAAATAACGTAAATAAACTTAAACAGAAAGAATTGTTTTTTTCGTCGTGTAGGTCCGATATGGCTCATCGTGCGCGGCCCGAGGGGGGTGTTTCGCTGCCGCAATCGCGTTTTCGCACGCACACCGTGGGGCGCAATTAACAAATCAGGCTCCCCGCATAAAGTGTCGCCCCAACGGGGCCCCGTGCTACCCGCCGCCGGGGTGTGCCCCCCACCCCGCCCCGCCCCACCCCTCCCCTCCCCTCGTGGAGGCGCGCGCCGCATGTCCTGTCGGCCGGACGCCTGTCCGACGCGAGGGAGATATAGGAAACAATCTGCAGGGAAAAGGCGGCCTCACACGCAAGCCATGGGGAAGGGCCTGGAGGGGGATGGGGAGAGATGTAACGTTCTCCCTGTCATCAAACTTTACAAATCAACTTCCAACGGTTGTTTTCACATCTGACAATGAGGCAAGGCTGAAACATAAAACAGCGCGCCCGCGCATGAGTTTGTCTTTGGATTGTTTGTTTCCATTATAACGTTCTTCTTCGTGATGACGACACCATGCGTCATTTTATGTCTAGATATCACGAACGTCTGTTTGCCCTTGAAGTAATAGCATCACGTGGTTAAGGCACTGCCCTCCCCCCCCCCTCTCCTTCTTACCCTGTTCTGCTGTCTTTGGATGTCCAGGACTTTCTCTCGGCTGCACAAAACTACCGGGAAGTTTACAACCTTACATCATGTGGTCTTTATTAAATGTTTGATCCGAGACTGGCGACGGTTTAGAGTGGAGAGGTTCGCAGCGTGTGCCAGGCGGACGTGAAGGGCATCCGCCCCGACCGGTAGCAACCCACAACGGACCTAACTCTGCAGGAATGTGGCTCTGGGCACCGACGAACTCGGATGAAGGGCTCCCCCAAATGTTTTAAATTAAACATTGTTGGTTGCAGTTATGACGGCAGACTACTTTCACACGATTTCCAATAAACCAGCCGATCGGACAAGGGTGACTTTTGTTTTGCGGGAGAACAAGGAGTCCCTCTCCCTGTCTCCCTCTATCATCCTGCCCCCCTCTTTCTCTTCATCAACCTCCCTTTTTCTGTGTCTTTCTGTCTTCCTCCATGTCGAACACGCACGCACACGCACACAGGGATACGCAACGTGTGCACGGGCAGAGCATCAAATGTATCGCTCTCTCCGTCGCGCTCACGGCGTGCTATTGCGTATTGTGGGGGGAGAGGGGTAAAGGGGGTGAAATTACTCAAAGGGGGGTGGGCGTCCCCACTCCCCCTCACGCGCACACATACACACACGCGCGCGCGCGCCGCCACGCCCCATGGACCTCTGGTGGCGGTCATCCAACCGGGGATAATCAGCCGGCCATCCCCTCCCACCTCCTACCCCCATCCCCATCCCGATTCGTCTATGCAATAATTCACAAATATTGCAAGCGTTCGTTCTCAATTTTCCAGGTCTTCGGTCACTGCTGCGGTATCGAGGGTGGGGCGGAAAGGGGAGAAAGGGGGGGGGGAAGCTAGACGGGCGCAGCGACGATATATGGCCCGTCCTCATTCCAATGAAACTGACTAATATATGTATCGATTTTTCGGCGCCACTCATTCAAAGAGAACACAATATCGCAGTACGCGCCGCGCCCGGCCGACCTTTGAACCGCCCTCACACTGGAGAAGAACCAGTGGAGAAAAGGGACTGTTGGCGAATCTGAGCATAGGGTGTCCATAGACCCTGATCAAGTTTTGAGGTTTTCGGCACGGCAAACCGTGTGGGTGCATACACACTGAGAAAAATAAATCTGTCTCAGCACTATACGTTTAGTCCCCAGATCGACGTTTTTTCGTTGCACTATACGTCTACCGCTGGGAGCTAAACGTAGCATCCCAGGCAAAGCAAATTTAGAGCACAGCACTAAAACTCAATGGCAGGTCACTATCTAATTTTGAGCTGGGACAAAAGTCGGGAGCATTAGACGTACGTTTAGTGCCCGGACAGAAATATTTTTCTCAGTGCACGCACGTCGCTTTTAGGGGCAACGGTGAGCCGTCGGTACGCAAGCCCGCTCGCACGCCTGCAAGCGGTACAGTACATATTTGCAGTAACCGAGTGTGTCAGGGTGTGTCAGAGCGGACGACGCCGCATTGTTGCGCACCAGACCACGTCCCGCGTAACATGCTTCGCGATATCTCATAAAACACTATTCCGCTTGCCACGCGGACGCCAGGCGAACTACCTTGGCCCAAGTCGAACCTTAGTAATATTATTTTGGTTAATTTTCCAATTTTTTGTCAAAAACCCCTTCTAGTGACTTAAGGCTTAAGGTGTTAATTTACACGTTGAGTGCGGCGTGACACAATAACATGGGCCTACACCCACCACATTTAACGCGTTAACGGTGTGACATACAGCAAAATGGGCGACATTCGGGTCAGTGTAGTATTGTGAATAATTTGAATCTGTTTAGCCGCAGTCTTGAATCAATGTCTTTATACGTCGTGTCCCATCCCCAGGCTCGAAAAATATCTATCGTGTAGGGCGTAGGCTATTTCCTACCCCCCCCCTCCTCTTCCCTCCCCCTTCTCCGGGAGATAAAAGGGCGAGCGACTTCCACTGCCCTCGACAGTTGAGCCGCGTCTCCCCCCGCCCCTTTCCCTTCCCGCCTTACAGTTACTGCCGATAGCACGTGTCATACGCCTAAGAGTAAATCGGGTTGCGGGGGTCCTTGTCAGGGCCAGAAGGGATTGGGGGAAGGGGTGCAAGCACGTCCGCACGCACCGCACATTGAGGGCGGCGGGGAAGAGGGGTCGGGTAGCGTCAGTGAGAGACGTAGTCAGCGTAACGCACGACTCTTAATCCTTCCATCACTTACGTTCACGGTTCTCGATTCTCCTTTTTCTCTTCGGGACTCGGCTGCCGTCGTCGGCAATCTGTTCAGGAATGCGGCCTTACGGCCACATTAGTAAGTTTTCTTTTTGCAACAAAGTGGGTACTTTGACTGGCTTCATTTTGTCCTCTCTCGGTCAACCTAGTTGCACCATCTCTAACTCTGCACCGGGGATCCCCCCCTGCTCATCTTTTCCAGTCCGCGAGGCATTTGCGAATGGCCCAGCCTCCAGTAACCATGAAACTCGAAGCACAGCGCTGCCAATTGCCAGAATGTCTGCACGAGTTGCAAAGGGGTTGGCGGGGGGAGAGACGCGGTCGGGGGAAAAAGGGGGGGGGGCGTTGGTGCGGTCTGCAAGGCGGCGGGGGCTGCAAGGGGGCAAACTGAAGTGCCGTGCCGTGGCGAGCGGCGGGGTGGAGCGCTGGACCCTGTGGCCGACGGTGTCTGAAAGGAGCCGGATGCAAAAGGATGTACCCCATCCCATGCCCCCTCTACTCTCCTCCTCCAAGAGGGAAGGAGCGGGTAGAGGGGCAGCCGGCGGGGGCGGGAGGGGGCGACGACGTTGTTGGCAGAGTCCATTTGGGCGACGTGACACGTCCCCGGGGAATAAGGAAGTGCCGTTGGGTCGACAGAGACTGAGCCAAGCAGAATATGGAGCAGTCTGCGCCACGCGCTGCCACGTCCAGGACTTTAGAGACCGCGCCGCGCCGCACCGTCCGTCCCAAATGTGATAATCGGCGCTCCAGCTCCAGTCGGCCCCGCCCGCCTCCCCGCACTGCTCACCGGCGGGCCGGGCCGCCCGGCCCCTCGAGGCGCCCGGGGAGCCCTGAGTAGGCCGCCCGCCGCGCGCCCGCGCCCACGCACTGCCACGGTAGCCTACCCGCGCGGCGCCGCACCGCCGTGGGGGCCAGCAGGCAGAGCACCCCGATATTTATAATTAACCCTTGTGTGCGCTCTCTCTCTCTCTCTCTCTCTCTCTCTCTCTCTCTCTCTCTCTCTCTCTCTCTCTCCCTCTCTCTCTCCTCCTTTCCTTTTCCCACCATCTCATTCTCTTATTCTAGGAACGTGAATGTGCCCCGGCCGGGCTGGGTGAACGACAGGGTGGGCGGCGTGGATGTTCCCAAGGCCGCCGACGCCGCCGCCCCGGCCCTGTACCCACAGGGGCCGAAAGGCATCGCCGCCACGAAGGACCGGCGCGCCGCCCTTGCGACGCCGGTGGCGCTGCCCCCCGACCTGGACCAAGAATCTGTCACGCACAGCGAGCCCGAGGAGGTAGCTTAACCGCCGTCCTTCGGCCCTCAGTTCCCTCTTGGTTCCACTGTTTCGAAGAAATACTATATACGCCCCCGCAAACTACGAATTATCCAATTTTCGCACGATAAAGAGCGCGCCTGCAAGGTTAGTTAAAGGGCGAGCTCATCAGGGTCGACTGTTACCACTTGCTGCCGTGTTTGCCGCTGGCGCGTATCTCATCGCATTCAACTTGTTGTTAAAAAGAAAAAAATATAATCGTTTCAAAAAAATTAGGGGCCAAAAATCCTTGAATCTTTCCGAATTTTTCTCAAACATACGTAAATAAATGTAAGGAAAAGCATTGACTTTGAAACAAGGGGAAACATCAGTTATAAACCAGTATAGGTATCACTCGAAACAAATGAAAAACCCTCAAAATGAATTGAAATGGGAGAAATTATAATTCAATCGTTTTGGCCAACTTCAAGTTCCTTGATTCAAGGTCAGGCCTTCGATTTTCTGGTTGATAAGAAGTACGCGGTGCCATTGACAACAAACAATCGAAGCAGGGAACGTAACGTCGATATCTCAGACCGCGACCCCCGCGCCGCGTCTGACTGATTGCGTTCAACTAACTGCGGTTCATTGAAATACAATTACCCCGTTTCGCAACATTTGGTTAGGTTAGCATACTCTTTCTATGTTAAATGATTGAATAGAGTAGACGAGTCTAAGAAACCAAGAAGAGTGTAACCTTCCGGTGACCACGTCTCTAAGTGCCGGTGGTATTCCTGCCTCGTCCAGGAGAGCCACGGCGTGCTGAGCCAGATCATGCTGGGCAGCTCGCCCGCCCTCGCCCGCGCGCTTGCCGCGCGCCCGCTCAGCGCCGCGTGGGCGCCCGCCCACTGGCTGCACTCCGTGCTGCGAGCCACGGGGGCGCCCTGCTTCCTGGACAACCCCTTCTCCGGCGCGCTTATCCTCGTCGGTACGTACGCGGCCGTGGAGGAGACCCTGTGGTCGCTGGTCAGGAGGCGGGAATGCCTGGGTACTACTATTATTGCTCGAGATGCTGGGTCACGTTTCTCATGCCATTCTTGTGTACGACAAATAAGCAGCAGTATTTCCCGGCACCGTGCTCCGAGTTACGCGTGGTCCGTGGGTAGCGCGAGGGCCGGCCCGTCGGCCCGCGCCGCCCCGTACACAGGAGTGGAGGCGGCCGCCCCGACGAGTTGTTGGACGCCAGAGCTAGAGCCTCGGCGAGCTTGGAATTCGCCAAAACTCGGAAGAAATCCATCCTTGCTTGCGATTTGGGAATCCTTCGACTCAGTAATTCCAGTTTGGGGGACAGAGGGGGGAGGGGGCGTCCATTTCCGAGTGGACCTTGGGAGGAAAGGAAAAAAAAATCCTCGCCAGTTCCGCAAACACGCTGGCGGCAGTCTCCTCCTCTGATAATAAATGTATTAGAAACCGCACATCGAGTCGACCCAATGGACATAATAATGTTAGGCAAGAATAAGAGTCCGAGGCTCAGGGTTGGCGTGGTGCGGGCGGGCCGGCGCGGCGCGGGGCGGCGTGGCGTGGCCTGGGGTGGCCTGGCACCACGCCCAATCATATGATGGGGGTAATTTAGGGCTAAGACTCGCCACCCACGTCCACTGGCGAAGATTTACTTGATGTGCGTGGCGCGGCGTAGCTGTCGGCCTGCATGGCTGCCAGAAGCCGGCTACCCCACCCACATGCCCCTCCAAAAAAGAAGAGAGAAAAAAAATCTGCTCGTTTGGGGGGAAGGGGAGTCTGTCCGTCCGAGATGACCGAGATGCAGCGCGCGCGGACGACTCGGCAAGGTTTTCTGCCTGAAGGAGGCCAAGGCCTTTTCTCCGAGGAGCGCGCTCCCGGCCCAGCCGTGTCACTAGTGGTGGTCTCTGCTGTGCCCAGCCATGGCGGTGGACGAGAGCTGCGGCCCGGAGGGCGCCGGCGCCACGCTGCTGGGGGCCACCTGCGCCCTGGCCGTGGCGATGGCCCTGCTGGGCGAGCGCTCCCTAGCCCTGTCCTCCCCAGGACTCACCTTCAACGGCGCCCTCATCGGCGTCACCCTGGGCAACGGGACGGCCCTCCACGACCGGGCCTGGCTGCTCGCCCCCATCGTCGTGCTGAGCGCGCTAAGGTAGGGGCGCCTGTGGGGTAGGCAGTCCCGCTCAACAGACCAGTGCCACGGGACTGCCTACCCGCCAGGCGCTAGCCGAGGGCCGCAGCACAAGCTCAGCTAGGATCACTTCGCGTCACTTCGCGTCCGGGGTAGGTTTGCATGACTTTCAAGTTTTGCGGATGGTCAGCACTCGTATTCAGTTCTATTTGTATTGGTCGGTGCACGCTCGAAAGAAAAATCACATTTAGAGATAAAAAGTATTTTGAATTTGAAGAAGTGGCATGTCATACCATATCATGCGTAATGAGGACTGCTGCCATAATGGGACTCATTCGCCCATGCTCCCTGGTTCCTTTGCCCCGTCGGGTTCGGCGCGGGCTTGGATCCACATATTATAAGTCTGAGTCCCACAGAGATTGTTGTGCGCTGCCACCACCGCCGAGGCCGCCGCGAGCTACCCGCAGAGAACGGGGGCGGAGAGGGGGCGGAGCCCGGGGGTGGACGGACTAAATGAAGTGAGGCGAGGCGCGCGCGCTGCCACGCACAGATAGTTGCGGGGGCGGCGGGGGGCAGCGGGGGCGGCGCATGGTGGACGTGCGGTCGGTGAAAGCCGCATAAGCGTTGCGGTCGCCCGTAGAGTCCCCGCCATGCTGCTGTTTGTGTTGGCAGCGCGTGGCTGAGCCGGGGCTTGTCTGCGGTCCTGGCGCGCGTGGAGATGCCCGCCCTCAACCTCGCCTTCAACGTTCTGGTCGCGCTGTGGCTCGCCGTCGAGGCGTCCTGGGCCCCGGGCTGGCGCGCACCCGCGGGCTCCTACCCCGCTAACGCGTCCACCGTCGACTGGGCTCAGGTATGTGCTAAGGGGGTATGGTAAATCCGATTGAAATGAAATAATCTTTTTATGCAATAAGCGACTCTCACTCCTTTATAGCACGGTAAAAATGACGTCCTGGTTTTCATGACGGTTTATTGCGGTTTATTGTGAAAACCAAGAGGTCTCCACGTGCATTCTATAAAGACGTCTTGGTTTTTCCAAACTATCATGAAAACCACACGACGTCGTTTTTACAGTCATGGCATGTGACTTTATACCCTGGATTCTGAACAAGTGATGCCTTGTCCAGGTGGCGACCAGCGTCCTGATGGCTCCGGGACCAGTGTTCGCCTGCACGAGCATCACGTCGTGCTGCCTGCTGTACGTCGCCTTCCTCGTCTTCTCGCCCATGCTGTTCGTCGTGGGACTGATTGGGGCAGCGGTTGGAACTCTGATTGGTCAGTGATTGGTCAAGAATGGTATTGAATAGTTTTATCGCCCCCTTTTCAGTCGAGATTAGTTCACCCCGTCGCTCACAACACAATCAATAAAAGGCAAACATACAGCCCGTTTGCGCAGTACTTACTTTTCTGAGAAGAACAACCCCCGTCTCACCCTCGTGCTTTGCCCACACCGCCTTCTCCCGCGAGCCCTCTCCCAACGACCCCTTTCCCCGCCGGCCGATATGCGCCGTCGGCTGCACTCCCGGTCCACGTCACGGCCACCGGCGTTGACATCTCTCGCTGTGCTTTACAGCCTGTTTTCTTTTTCCTCCTCGACCCGTAAACTCGATTATTGGCACTTTCTTCTGGCACTTGATGCAGCGGTTAACGCGCGCGCTGCACGTCGGCTCGCCCGTAAAGTGGTGCGCAGGGCTTCCGGCCCAAGACCCACCCCCCCTCCTGCCCCACTCCGCGCTGCAGTCGGGCCGCCGGGGAGAATCAGACTTACCTCGAAAACCGATTCAAACAGCACAGCTAAAACGATGCTTGGAAATATTATCTTTGACCTTTGTTCCCTAAATGTAACTCTATCTTCGGAACAATAGTGTATTTCGACTAACGGAGGAAGAAGAATAGCAGGTAGAACATGAAGGTCCCTGATTGGCCGAGCGCCTACCCCCACACAGCGCGTGACGTAGAGGCGGGAAGCTCTCGGCCAATCGGTAACGTTTATGTTCTACCCGCTGTTCTTCTTCCTCCGTTAGTCGAAATACACTATATAGAGGAAAAGGGGGGGGGGGACTGGGGCACTTCTTTTCAGGAACAAAGCGGTCACTTAAGAAAGGTTATCACGACACTCAGGAATCCAGTTATTGTTATATTGACTAACTAAAAAGGAAGTGGGATAAGCTAGCTTCACTCGGCTTTGATGCCCCACCTT